TGAAAATAATAATCCAATCAGCAAGATAATGAATGATGTTCCTATATTTGACAGCAATTCCTGTCCTTGATGACTGTCGTCTTTCATCATGTTAGTTTGTGCCACAGCTGTCTGTGCGTATTTTATCATGTTCTCCCAAAAGGTATACAGTCCGCCTTCAAAAACCCCGGCGAACTTTAGCCTAACCATGCTACTGTACCACCCTAATTTTAAAAACATCAAAAACACCCGTTTCGAAAACAAAGTATCTTTACTGACCACGTAGGGTTTCCTGTTTTTATGTGAACGCCCAATTGGTCCTAAAATCTTATTGATCAAATGCCTTGTCGCCATGCTACTAGTTCTGAAAACAAATGCAGACTTTTTGCAATCTGCGATTTTATCAGGAATTTTTGCAATGTCCATATACTCTGCAATTGCTATTAATCGGGCTAATTCAGTCTGGTGAAACATTTTCTCCAAATTATTAATCCACTCGGGATTCCTTGCAAGAAATTCTATTGTCTCGTTTCTATGATATGAGCAAGGCAACGACATCGTCAGTTTATCAAGATCTCCGCTTTCCGTTAAACTATTACATTTAAAGTAGCGAAATATGTCACTTATGGTGTAGTTGCGTACCGGATCCAGCCCATTCCTCCTCTTCCAGAGCTCCATTTGTACATGGAATTCCTCATCTAGCTCACCATAACCGATCCTATATTTACTCAATGTTATCGGAATTGCTAAGCCGGAATCTTCCGTGTAGTAATCTGAATTTAAAAAAGAACCAATCATTTTGAAATTGTGAGGGACAAGGTGAGAAAACAAGGTCGGTTGAAGTGATCCTAACGGAGCAGTGATATCATTCGTTACCACACTTTTGTACACGTTGATCGTCAGAATGGAGACAAGTGCAAATGCAGCGAGGAGCAATCTAGCCACGGGCTTGTATCGCTTCGTGGTTGACGGGAAGGTCTCCACGTTCACTGATAGAACTCCAATAAAAGCATAAATCAGGGACAATTTGGTTCTATGGATTAAATCTGAACCGGGACTAACCACATGGTACATCATCAGCAGTGATAAAAGTGCTGAACAAATAAGTATAGCTGTCCAAACAGAGTTATCCAAGGGTTTCAAGTATCCATCAAAACGGAGCCCTTCATCTCGTATCGAGCCGCACGTGATAAAGGAGAAACTTGTATTTCCAATTAACATCAACTCTGCTAACCCGAGCCTTTCATCATCCACCAGCTCGGCCAACGATCTTCCCTTAATAGGCTGAATTATGTCGGTAAAGTTCTTATCCCAGACTTTCTTAAGAGCAAGATCAATTCCTACATCGAACTCGACTTTTTTCACTACCTTCAGAAACCTAACGATGCTCATCTCCCACATAAGTTTTTGACCATGGCCATAGTTTCTTCTAAACAGGACTCGATCTAGACACGCTTGGTCTCCAACTCCTGCCCTCATTTGGTAAAAGTAAGCCGCCACTTTAACCGCTGCCGGCCTTCCTAAGCACCATACAAAATTAGTAACCAAAGGTAAATATACAGACTCGGGTTCTAATGATGCCATCATTTTTACAACATATATTGTCGGTGTTGCTATATAGTCTGGAAGAGCAAGGAGGTCATGCTGCCAGCGAAATAGGTCAAAATGGAATTGTGCAGGGTAAAAGCAAACGACTGTGGAGGAGGGGAAGTTAGGGTGGAATTTGTTGTACGGTACTCCCTTCTCATTGACTTTTATTGTTGGGTGGGTGAATTCCGCTCGCATCGAGTTGTAACGAATCGCGTCAAAAATGTCCAGATCCAAAATAACGATCATGTAGAGCAGACATTGCGGGCGTCTCGAACGAGAGCGATATATTGGGTTGACATGTTGGACGACAAGGGATGTCCGATTTGGATTACTATAGTTAGCCCTGATATCATACAGATATAGGAAAATTGTATTTATTTATTATTGTTATTTGTCTCGAATTTAAAACTTACCATGGCGGTGTTTGTTGGGTAATTTGGACAGGTCGTGAGATGGGAGATGGTAGATCCAAGTTTCCAAAATATGCGAGACTTAATTCACAATTACTTTGGGCTTGTAGAAAAAGGTCAAGGTTTTTTATTATAATATTTTCTCGCGCTTTGAGACAACTAGGAAAGAATATGATGCAGAAGACACATTTTGACAAATTCTGAAACACAGATAATTTTGGAATCATGTTTGACCTTATCGAGATAACAAGGACGACGTTCTTTGAATCGGATCCAACAGAAAAAATATAAGAAAAGTAACCTTGGCCAAAACTTGGTTGATATTTCAAATACCAACAGCGAAAATAACCTTGCTGGAATATTGATTAATTCCTGATAAGGTTGATTTATTTTAGTGGCCTAAATTATTCAAACAATACCTCACATCTTGAATGGCGTGTCTTTCGAAGGTAAATAATTAAGCTAATGGGTTATAACTTTAAGATTTAAGTTTCGTCACGACTCCCTTCACTGTTCTGGAAGCAATATGATTCTAACTTAATGACAAATTTGATCGCACCGAATATTCATCAACCGATTTAATTCAATTATTTAACTCGACCGTGATCAATTTTTGACGAGCTATGTATTTCACTATATATCAATAATTTTACATGACTTTCCCTTCCCGTTCTGATGTAAACAATGATAAATTGTATGCAAAAATAAACATGATTTACTAGTTTTACATATTAAAATCTTTTTTTGCCCTAATTTCCAAACAAATTTGTCGTCATAACCATTTCTTTATGTTTAATCAAATTTAACCAAACAAAAATCTTGGTCTCATTCGAAATGTTCTGCGACAAAGATTATGAACAACGCAGGAGAAGGCGTACGGATCTGATCCATCGCACCCACAGGTCAATCCTGAGCAGCAATCCTCGTAGAAAGAACATCGCGCTTGTTGTCCAAAACAAGATTGCTAAGAAATAACATCAAATTCTTGTTTTTACTCTTTTCATGTCAACCCTTTACTATATTCCTCACCCTTCCAGCATCATAACCCCAAGGGCGAGAGCATCCACGGCTACCAAGGTAGCCAGGACGAGAATAAAGACCAGCATGATGGGCTTCATTTCTTCTATGGTTGAATAAAATAAATTTAGTTTCTGACGATGTCACGAACTCCAAAATAAATACAAAAAAAGTTACCAAGTTCGAAAATTTTTTATTCTCTAACAAGTATTTTTTTAGAATAGATACTGCCAGAGAGAGCGTCAGAATGATACGGGCTGGTGGAAAAAAGTGCATCGAACTTGAGCAAAATTCGAACAGTTGGTGGTAAGAACGAAATAAATATTTTATTCCATTGTTTAAATTTTATGTAATTGTTAAAATTGAGGGCCAGTGCAATTCTCCTTAAAGTCGACGCTTTTAAAAATCCGAGTAAAAACCACGCATAAAAATTTCTTGCATTTTCTAGGTCCAAGTGACGTGAGCAAAAGTTATGACGACAAATAGTAAAATTTGTTAAAAGTTGAAAATATGGGAATAATTCTTGTTATTAGAGGCGTGTTTATAAAAAGAAATTTCGATATATTTCAAATAATGAAACAAAATGAAATAATTAAAATTATTGGGGGTATTCATCACTGCTTCGTATGTTCGCATCGCAGCGTCTTTTTCAAAATATTTTGCTAACCAAATACTGGCCTTGCAGATGTGCATCTTCGCAAATAATTTTTAGTCAATTTTGGGAAAAAAATTTGCTATCTTGCGAACTTTAATTTTTTGCTAGTGTTGCTAACAACTCGAAGTTGTGACGAATACCCTCAATTATTAAAAATTTGGCAATTACGAACTCATACTTTTCCCCTACTAACAAAATGTGTCTGCGTTTGATGAATTTGAATATAAAAAACTATGAGGTCTTATTTAAACTAATTATTTAATAAAATCGTACAAATGCATGTAATGAAGTAAATAATCTATCAGCTTTGTCGCAATTTATGAATTTTTTTAAAATTTGTAGCCTGACAGCTAAATCCATATGCATACAGATGGAATTAAAATATGCAAAAATTTAATCAACAATATTAGATACAGAAAACAAAAATCTTTTCAATATTAAATACAAACGAAATTGGATAAACAAGGTATACTTTAATTCGAGGCATGTACCTTAGAATTTCTAAAAATGGAGGATTTAAACATTAAATATTAATAATGTCAACACAATTAATACGAGTGTATATTCTTCAGAACATCTTCTTTGGTGTAATAAACCCTCCAAACGAATATAAAAAAGTAGCGTCAGCGTGGTCAGTTTCCTTTCCTAAATTTTCTTTTCTTTCCTAAGTTTCCTTTAAAATGACTCCCTATGAAAATTAAGTGTTTTTTGACCCCATGACCCCGACGACGATGTCAAAGGTCAAAAATATTGTCGTCGTTGAATTCGTGGCGAAATTTCCTTTAAAATGACTCCCTATGAAAATTAAGTGTTTTTTGACCCCATGAGATGAATCATCTCTATCATGGCCCCATTTTTGCCCGTCACATCCACTCAAAGATCTCAAAAACACGAAAAAAGCCAAGTTTTGAAATGTTTACATTGTCACCAAAAATCCAATTTTGCTCGGATTTTCATAATTTTCACATTTTTGTGATCCCAGATAGTTGAGTTTGTTATTGAATGTGATAGAGCAATTATCTGGAATCACAAAAATGCGAAAATTATGAAAATCCGAGCAAAATTGGATTTTTGGTGACAATGTAAACATTTCAAAACTTGGCTTTTTTCGTGTTTTTGAGATCTTTGAGTGGATGTGGCGGGTAAAAATGGGGCCATGGCCTTATATGAAATGGATTTTAGTAGAACGACGTAATGTCTTTCGAATGCTTGTCATGCTTGTACAATTTTGAAGCCCCTTATAACACATAACTATGAAGCAAATCTAGGAGAATTTATGGCGTACATACAAACATTTTGCACTGCAAATTCTACTGTGACTGAAGTTATGTAGAACCATGATCTGCTGATTAAAACAAGTTTAATTGAGATCCAATGACTAGTAGACCAATAAATGCGATAGCTCCGATCACGATCCACATCTAAAAAATTGACAAAATTCAAAACTGCACAAAATAATGATAAAAATCAAAATTACCTTCATATTTCTCATCAAAGCTCTTCGTTTTAGTGTCCTAGCATGGTTTTCAAATTGTGATGCACCTTGTTTCAGCGCATCTGCGGTAAATTTAAATCCATTAAATTATTAAACAATTCATAATTACCTGTTTAATTAGTACCGGCTCTCGTTTCCATCACGGACAGTTTTTCATCCCTCTCAAGTACCTATTAAAAATGTGTCCATAAAAATAATTATTCTTTAATACATGGAACTTTTGCAGTAAGTCCTAACTCAACTCACATTTCTTACGTTGACGTTCATTATATCCACGACCTACAATCATATCACCAATCTCGATAATTATAATCTGCTCAAATATTTATAATTAGCAAATTAAAATTTACTACCTCGTCCACCTTCGCATTTGTGTTCTCAAGCCGGAGTTTGGATGAAATTTGTTGCGTTGTAGCTACCGCACCCCTTCCTAAATTCGGTTGAGCCCTTCATTTTCAAAACAAGAATTAAAATTAACCATAGAACCGTTGCAAGAAACTGGCGAGTTCATCACTCACATCACAAACTCGTTGTTGATAGAAACTGGAACGCTTAATTTCAACCCCAGACGCGTAAGAGGTTAAGTATCAAACGGTGAAAGAAATGTGTGCGAATTTTATTGAAGAGAAAGAGACGACTGACTTGGTTAGGGGAAAGTTAGGGTCGTATTATACATACTTGATGGTGCCATCCCAACTCGTACTTTCTCCAGACGCGTGACAGTGACTACCTTACTTGCTCTCCTGTTTATGACTCAACATCATGACTCATGTCGGTGGGCATTGTTTACATGAAAATATAAACAAACCAACCTATCTTCTGACATTTCCAGATGGTTAGTTAGAACTTGGAACTAAATAAAATTATGCGTTTTATCGTATTTAGTTTCATTTATCACCGATTTTATGACGACACGAATTACATCTTATTATGCTTACAACTATACAATACAATATAAACTGAGTCGGAAAATATCATAAAACTTATTATAATTGTGTAAATCTAGAAGGAATGTATAATTGAGACGAAGAAATTACGAATAAAAGATATCCACCAACAAAAGAGAATTTAGTAAAAAAGATTGAACTAATTTTGAAATTGATATTTTTTCTCATTTTGCAAATAGTTCAAATAATCTATTTTGTAATTTTGAAAAGTCCGTCCCGTGAAATTTTCCGTGACATTCCTGCGTTCTGATTGGCTGTTGGCATTCTAGCTCAACCAATCAGAGAACGGACTCGATTTTTGATTATGCTTCTGATTCCCATTCTGATTCCCATTCCCATTCCCATTCCCATTCCCATTCCCATTCTTATTTTCATTCCCATTCCCATTCCCATTCTCATTCCCATTTCCATTCCCATTCCCACTCCCATTCCCATTCTCATTCCCATTCCCATTCCCATTCTCATTGTTGGGGGTATTATGCATCAAAATTTCAAAATAATCGTAGAAAGCCCCAAATTTGGTATGGAAGTCCCTGATGGTTTCTAGTGAAAGATTGTCAGGTAACATTGTAAACATTTTCTTGAGGGACCCTAGGGGGTTACCCATACCGATTTTTAGAAATCCTCCAATCGAGATGAATTTTATTTTCTTGGCTACTAAAGACTTAATTGCAACTATGGTAAAGTCATATTGGAAAAATTTTGAAGTGGAGGGACCCCAGAGGGTGACCCATACCGATTTCTAAAAGTTGTCGTATTGAGCAGAAATTTGGTATGCTGACTGGAAATGCCAAGTGGCCATGAAATATCAAATTGGACATTAGTACTCTCCAAACCTGGCTCGGGGTATCTCAAGTCTGCACTGTAGGTTTTGAGAATATGAACAAGTAGAAGGAGAAGAATCTGGGTCTAATTTTTTATAAACTTTTCAAAATTTCCTTCTGAAAGTTATTAGCTCGCCCTGTGTAGCATGGGAAGCTATCAAACTTGCCCTGTCCGTCTGTCTGTTCGCTTTTGAATTTTGTCCCTTTTACACCACTAGTGCAGAATAATCATAAAAATTTTATCAGAATTTGTCAGTGGTCGGCAAGATACTTTGTTCTCAAAATACAAGATACAAGATACAAATTTTTTCTTGAATTTTCCAAGATAAAAGATACAAGATATAATTTTTTTTAATTTAAGGCACCTTTGAACTGGTTTTTAATTCCAGTTGGACAATTTGCATATTTTCCCGTAACAGATTTACCGTCATCATTCCGTGTTATCCGTATTATCCTAAATATTTCCCTTATATAAACTGGTTTTGAAGTTACTGATGAAGCAGAGAATAAATATTGTTTAATTAACTCATAAAAACCAAGTTAGTTCTCTATTAAAAACTTAATTTTCAATTGGAAACCATTTATAATTTAATAGATATCATTGATAAAAGCAAATCGCGTGATATTAAATTCCTTTTTTTACATCTTTAGGATAAATTCTCGTATTAAATTATTCAAGCGTTGCATTGCTGCGTAATTTGCTAATTTTTAAATTTCACAAACTTTTCCTTTCAATTATTCTACCTAAACTTTTAATGAGGCATATTTTATTTAGTTGTAAATACTTAATTTCGTAATTTGGTTGTCAAATATCTGTAACTTTGACAAAATAGCAAATTTACTTTAGAAACTTCTAGGACAGAAATTATCTGGAACTTGTAAATGTTATGATTTTTTGGAAGCAGACTTGTTAATAATGTTGTACACGTGCCAAACGTGTTGCTATTAATTTGTCAGTGAAAATATTTAGTAAGTTAAGATTTAAACAAGAAATATTCTATCAATACAGCATAGATGGCGAGCGCGGAAGGCGCGAGCGGCCAGGGGCGCCATCGAATCTGGCCCAGGTTAAATTTTGGGCAAGATCGGGCACTGGTAAAAATGTAATTGAGTTTTGTAATTGAGTTTTCTTGTATAATTGTAATTGCAATTGGCCAAAGGAGGTGATTGTAGATAACTGTAATTTTTAATTTAGCAGCCAAGTGTATAATTTGTTCAACTCTGTATAGTAAAGAACAACAGTCACCCTCATCACCGATATCAGCAAATATTACTTTACACTAGCATGATACAATCGCCGAAGATAAGGATTCAATTAAAATTTACATTTGTCAATCTTCTTGACAAGGTTAACCGCGAATAATTAATGGGTTTTCCCAAGTGATAAAGTGCAAATACAAAAAGATCGTATGCCATGCAAATAACTTTTGATATCATCATGATGATATTCCAAAGTCTGGATTTCGATTGAGGAAAAATCGTCAAAATTATTAAATATAAGCGAACTATTTGTCCATAGCTCATGGTTGATCCAAAATCCAATACAAAGAGTTATCAAAATAGGAATAATGGCCAAGCGACCCAATCAAATTATAACCGTGCTATTAACTGTAATAATTTTTTTAGAACTTTGTTTTCCAAGGGTACTTGGAACCTTGGACGATGATATAAAGGGTGACTTAGGTATTGCGGATAAAATAAACGTGAACAATAATTACACTAAAAACATTAAAGCAATTTATTCTAAATTATTTTACAGATAATTGGGCCGAAACATTTAGTAGATTTGGAAATGCTATCAGTTCTCACTTAAATTCCATCTACGACCGTGAACAAGGATTTGCACCGTACCTTGAAGTCAACAGTAGTGGACCGTCATTACTTGATGTGAAGGGTGGCTCCTTTGCGATTCCTTCAATTGGAATTGTTCTGAATTTAAGATGGTATTTTATCGCTGGTTGGCAAACGATGCTAGGATTTTTCGAAACGTGGTTAGACAAAGAGTTTATTATCAATGTTAACAATTCGTTACATGTTTATAAAAATTAAACGCAGCCTAACATTAGTTTAATTCTATTTTCCTTTTTTTTTGATAAATTTTAGGTCAAATCAAATCACAGGATTGACTGATGTGAACCAAGATTTTAAGATTAAATTCATAAATCTACACGGCAATTTTTCGGCTGTATTAGAAATTGATATTCCAACCATTTCAATTGCCGGAAAATATAATACAAATTTGACACAGACGTCAAGAGGAACATTACCCAACTTAAATTTCACGGGCGAGGGGGATTATACATATATAGTCAAGTCCATGAAAATGCGGTTGAGTGTGAATGGTCGAGCTCCGATGATAGGCAGAATTTCGATAGACGGAGTTAATTTCACTTATGATCACAAGAGTTTGGAAGCCTCATTCTCAAATATGACAATGACTAGTAGCAGGTTCATAAAGGGATGGACATGGTATTGGTTGGATTGGAAAAAGGCAATTCACAACCACAATGATATTCCTAAATCTTTCGGGTGGAACTTGCTCAACTTTTACATTAATCTTAAAGTGGAACAAGCAATTAATGAAGCCATGCGTTGCGTTCTGGATAACATTTTTAACGTAATTCTAAATTAATCTAAATTCTAAGAATATCTTATAGTGACTGGCACAAAGTCTGCCTTAAGATAATGCAAGTTAACTAATTGTTTAACTTGTCACTATTCCAGGAATGCAGCCTTTTTGAGCTTGTCTTTTCAGGTTTGTTGTACAACGTAATTATTAACAGCAACATAAGGTTTGAAATCCAGTTCAGTAAGCGAGTGCAGTTAAACCAACTAAGTTATTTTAATTGTTTTGATATTGAGAATCTCTTACATTACTCCTCTGTAGTTTTTGAGGTTATGGTAACTTTACATTTTCTCAAACGAGTGCGGGTCCATTTCCAAATCCCTTCTCTAATTCCTTAATAATGATTGGCGTAGCAACTATGGAATAAATCTTTGAGAATTTTTACTTTAGCAAGGTGTTAAGTTCATAAGCAACACTGCGTAACAACACTAACAACGGTTCTCATTACAATTGGACTTTCGAAAAGTATAATTAACAATTTCTATATCTAGCGGTTGCATCAGACACCCCGGTTGCATCAGACACCCCGGTGGCAGCAGACACCCCGGTGGCAGCAGACACCCCGGTTGCATCAGACACCCCGGTGGCAGCAGACACCCCGGTTGCATCAGACACCCCGGTGGCAGCAGACACCCCGGTTGCATCAGACACCCCGGTGGCAGCAGACACCCCGGTTGCATCAGACACCCCGGTGGCAGCAGACACCCCGGTTGCATCAGACACCCCGGTTGCATCAGACACCCCGGTGGCAGCAGACACCCCGGTGGCAGCAGACACCCCGGTTGCATCAGACACCCCGGTGGCAGCAGACACCCCGGTTGCATCAGACACCCCGGTGGCAGCAGACACCCCGGTTGCATCAGACACCCCGGTGGCAGCAGACACCCCGGTTGCATCAGACACCCCGGTGGCAGCAGACACCCCGGTTGCATCAGACACCCCGGTGGCAGCAGACACCCCGGTTGCATCAGACACCCCGGTGGCAGCAGACACCCCGGTTGCATCAGACACCCCGGTGGCAGCAGACACCCCGGTTGCATCAGACACCCCGGTGGCAGCAGACACCCCGGTTGCATCAGACACCCCGGTGGCAGCAGACACCCCGGTTGCATCAGACACCCCGGTGGCAGCAGACACCCCGGTTGCATCAGACACCCCGGTGGCAGCAGACACCCCGGTTGCATCAGACACCCCGGTGGCAGCAGACACCCCGGTTGCATCAGACACCCCGGTGGCAGCAGACACCCCGGTTGCATCAGACACCCCGGTGGCAGCAGACACCCCGGTTGCATCAGACACCCCGGTGGCAGCAGACACCCCGGTTGCATCAGACACCCCGGTGGCAGCAGACACCCCGGTTGCATCAGACACCCCGGTGGCAGCAGACACCCCGGTTGCATCAGACACCCCGGTGGCAGCAGACACCCCGGTTGCATCAGACACCCCGGTGGCAGCAGACACCCCGGTTGCATCAGACACCCCGGTGGCAGCAGACACCCCGGTTGCATCAGACACCCCGGTGGCAGCAGACACCCCGGTTGCATCAGACACCCCGGTGGCAGCAGACACCCCGGTTGCATCAGACACCCCGGTGGCAGCAGACACCCCGGTTGCATCAGACACCCCGGTGGCAGCAGACACCCCGGGCACAGACACCCCGGTTGCATCAGACACCCCGGTGGCAGCAGACACCCCGGTTGCATCAGACACCCCGGTGGCAGCAGACACCCCGGTTGCATCAGACACCCCGGTGGCAGCAGACACCCCGGTTGCATCAGACACCCCGGTGGCAGCAGACACCCCGGTTGCATCAGACACCCCGGTGGCAGCAGACACCCCGGTTGCATCAGACACCCCGGTGGCAGCAGACACCCCGGTTGCATCAGACACCCCGGTGGCAGCAGACACCCCGGTTGCATCAGACACCCCGGTGGCAGCAGACACCCCGGTTGCATCAGACACCCCGGTGGCAGCAGACACCCCGGTTGCATCAGACACCCCGGTGGCAGCAGACACCCCGGTTGCATCAGACACCCGGTGGCAGCAGACACCCCGGTTGCATCAGACACCCCGGTGGCAGCAGACACCCCGGTTGCATCAGACACCCCGGTGGCAGCAGACACCCCGGTTGCATCAGACACCCCGGTTGCATCAGACACCCCGGTGGCAGCAGACACCCCGGTGGCAGCAGACACCCCGGTTGCATCAGACACCCCGGTGGCAGCAGACACCCCGGTGCACAGACACCCCGGTTGCATCAGACACCCCGGTGCAGCAGACACCCCGGTTGCATCAGACACCCCGGTGCAGCAGACACCCCGGTTGCATCAGACACCCCGGTGGCAGCAGACACCCCGGTTGCATCAGACACCCCGGTGGCAGCAGACACCCCGGTTGCATCAGACACCCCGGTGGCAGCAGACACCCCGGTTGCATCAGACACCCCGGTGGCAGCAGACACCCCGGTTGCATCAGACACCCCGGTGGCAGCAGACACCCCGGTTGCATCAGACACCCCGGTGGCAGCAGACACCCCGGTTGCATCAGACACCCCGGTGGCAGCAGACACCCCGGTTGCATCAGACACCCCGGTGGCAGCAGACACCCCGGTTGCATCAGACACCCCGGTGGCAGCAGACACCCCGGTTGCATCAGACACCCGGTGGCAGCAGACACCCCGGTTGCATCAGACACCCGGTGGCAGCAGACACCCCGGTTGCATCAGACACCCCGGTGGCAGCAGACACCCCGGTTGCATCAGACACCCCGGTGGCAGCAGACACCCCGGTTGCATCAGACACCCCGGTGGCAGCAGACACCCCGGTTGCATCAGACACCCCGGTGGCAGCAGACACCCCGGTTGCATCAGACACCCCGGTGGCAGCAGACACCCCGGTTGCATCAGACACCCCGGTGGCAGCAGACACCCCGGTTGCATCAGACACCCCGGTGGCAGCAGACACCCCGGTTGCATCAGACACCCCGGTGGCAGCAGACACCCCGGTTGCATCAGACACCCCGGTGGCAGCAGACACCCCGGTTGCATCAGACACCCCGGTGGCAGCAGACACCCCGGTTGCATCAGACACCCCGGTGGCAGCAGACACCCCGGTTGCATCAGACACCCCGGTGGCAGCAGACACCCCGGTTGCATCAGACACCCCGGTGGCAGCAGACACCCCGGTTGCATCAGACACCCCGGTGGCAGCAGACACCCCGGTTGCATCAGACACCCCGGTGGCAGCAGACACCCCGGTTGCATCAGACACCCCGGTGGCAGCAGACACCCCGGTTGCATCAGACACCCGCACAACCCCCGGTTGCATCAGACACCCCGGTGGCAGCAGACACCCCGGTTGCATCAGACACCCCGGTTGCATCAGACACCCCGGTGGCAGCAGACGCCCCGGTTGCATCAGACACCCCGGTTGCATCAGACACCCCGGTGGCAGCAGACGCCCCGGTTGCATCAGACACCCCGGTGGCAGCAGACACCCCGGTGGCAGCAGACACCCCGGTGGCAGCAGACACCCCGGTGGCAGCAGACACCCCGGTGGCAGCAGACACCCCGGTTGCATCAAACACCCCGGTTGCATCAGACACCCCGGTGGCATCAGACACCCCGGTGGCATCAGACACCCCGGTTGCATCAGACACCCCGGTGGCATCAGACACCCCGGTTGCATCAGACACCCCGGTGGCATCAGACACCCCGGTGCATCAGACACCCCGGTGGCATCAGACACCCCGGTTGCATCAGACACCCCGGTGGCATCAGACACCCCGGTGGCATCAGACACCCCGGTGGCATCAGACACCCCGGTGGCATCAGACACCCCGTGGCATCAGACACCCCCGTGGCATCAGACACCCCCGTGGCATCAGACACCCCCGTGGCATCAGACACCCCCGTGGCATCAGACACCCCGTGGCATCAGACACCCCCGTGGCATCAGACACCCCCGTGGCATCAGACACCCCCGTGGCATCAGACACCCCCGTGGCATCAGACACCCCCGTGGCATCAGACACCCCCGTGGCATCAGACACCCCCGTGGCATCAGACACCCCGTGGCATCAGACACCCCCGTGGCATCAGACACCCCCGTGGCATCAGACACCCCCGTGGCATCAGACACCCCCGTGGCATCAGACACCCCCGTGGCATCAGACACCCCCGTGGCATCAGACACCCCGTGGCATCAGACACCCCCGTGGCATCAGACACCCCCGTGGCATCAGACACCCCGTGGCATCAGACACCCCGGTGGCATCAGACACCCCGGTGGCATCAGACACCCCCGGTGGCATCAGACACCCCGGTGGCATCAGACACCCCGGTGGCATCAGACACCCCGGTGGCATCAGACACCCCGGTGGCATCAGACACCCCGGTGGCATCAGACACCCCGGTGGCATCAGACACCCCGGTGGCATCAGACACCCCGGTGGCATCAGACACCCCGGTGGCATCAGACACCCCGGTGGCATCAGACACCCCGGTGGCATCAGACACCCCGGTGGCATCAGACACCCCGGTGGCATCAGACACCCCGGTGGCATCAGACACCCCGGTGGCATCAGACACCCGGTGGCATCAGACACCCCGGTGGCATCAGACACCCCGGTGGCATCAGACACCCCGGTGGCATCAGACACCCCGGTGGCATCAGACACCCCGGTGGCATCAGACACCCCGGTGCTCACCCCCGGTGGCATCAGACACCCCGGTGGCATCAGACACCCCGGTGGCAGCAGACACCCCGGTGGCATCAGACACCCCGGTGGCAGCAGACACCCCGGTGGCATCAGACACCCCGGTGGCAGCAGACACTTGTTATTAAGCAAAAACCATGGCCAATTTCAGTTTATTGGGAATATTGATCAAATCCAAACAGGATACTGAAGATATAGTTGCTCAACTCATTACGGATTTTTTTGCTATTCCCCATCAAAATCTGATGAAAATCGATAAAGATATTCCACTTTGAAGTATGCATATTTATGATTTTTAGCCGGTGTGGGTTATATAATTTGTGTGGGGGATCCTTTGGTTTTTGGTGTTTGGTACAGAATATTCCAAATAGTCGTAAAAGGCTGAAATTCGGAAAACTAGTACCGATGAGGTACTAGTTTTTGATACTAATGAAGATAAAATTTACAAAAATTTTGAAAATCAGACTGGTGGAGGTCATGTAGGTAGTGGGGATATTATGCACCAAAATTTCATTTTTAGCACGAGCCAAGGCTAATGGAACCCTCATGTCTGTCTGTCTGTCGGTCTGGTTAACGATTACGGTCGCAATTCTCAACCGATTGACTTGAAATTTGGCATTCACGTAATATGGACAAAATTAGGAATCATGTTCGAAGATGGGCTTGATCAAAA